GCGGGGTCAGGTCTGTGTGGCAGCCTGAAAGTGAAGTATTGAGAACAACGAAGCTCTAGGCAAGCAACATATTTGGAGAGGATGCTCTAAAAAGAGCAAAATGAAATAAACAGAATCCTTATTTAATGTCTGATCCTGGGTAGCTCCTAGACTGGGGGAAAGGGTACCCAGGTGTCTTAGTTAGAGTTTCTATTGCTGTAATAAAACACCATGACCAAAAGAAGCAAGTTGAGGAGGAAAGGGTCTATTAGGCTTACCCTTCTGCATTGCTGTCACCACTGAAGGAGGCCAGGACAGGAGCTCAAACAGGACAAGATCCCCGAGGCAGGAGCTGATGCAGAGGCCATGGAGGGGAGCTGCTTTCTGACTTGTTTCCCCTGAATTGCTCAATATCTTCTTATAGAACCCAGGATCAGCAGCCCAGGGATGGCACCACCCACCAAGGACTGGGCCTTCCCCCATTGATCACTGAATAAGAAAATGCCTTCCAGCTGGATTTCATCGAGCATTTCCTTGCTCCTTCCTCTGATGACTCTAGCCTGTGTCAAGTTGACACACAAGACCAGCCAATAGGCCAGGTGTGATGGTTAGTGTCAGCTGTCAACCTGACAGAATCTAGAATCACTTGGGAGATGGGCCCTTGGGCATGCCTATGTGGGATGATCTTGGTTACATTAGTTAAGGTGGGATGACCCACCTACTCTGGGTGGCACCATTCCCTGACCGGGATCTTGGACAGTGTGGATGGCGGAAGGGAACTGAGCAGCAGACATCCGTTCCTTCCTCTCTGTACCATGACTGTGGGTGGGAAGTGAGCAGCTGCTTCCTGACACTTTGACATCCCACCAATCACAGCAACAGAAAGAGAAAAGGACACAGCAGACATCTGGCAAACCACGCTTCTTTATTGCTGCATTCATTACCCAGGTGCCTCAGTTAGCAAAGGGCCCATTCCCTCCTGCTGTGAGGGAAGCCAGATGGGCTGGCATCACATCAGAATGATGGACCCATCTTCTGTGCGTCTGAGGGTGTCTCCAGAGCAGTGGTTCTTACTCTTCTTCTTGTTGTGACCCTTTAATACAGTTCCTCGTGTTGGGATGACCACCAAGTATACACCAATATATTATTTTAATTACCACTTCAGAAATGTAAGTTTGCTACTGTTATAAATCATAACATAAATATCTGTGCTTTCTGATGATCTTAGGTGACCCCTGTGACAGGGTCATTTGACCCCCAAAATGAGGTTACAATGTGCATGTTGAGAACCTCTGCTATAGGCCTTTATCATAAGATGGGGACTGCGGAGGCATCCAGCCCTGGGGCCTGAGCAGTTACTGGGTTCTCAGCCTCACCAGCGTACAGGCAGCCATTGCTGAGCTGCCCAGCCTCTGCTATGTAATCCAGTTTTTATAACCTATGTTCATTTTATGTGTTCTGTTGCTCTAGAGAACCATGGTTAAGAGAACTTTCAGGACCCACACCAGGGCTCTCCAATTCTTGGGCCTTTGGTTTCAGACTGGAAATTACATCATTGCCTCTGAGGTTCTGATACTTTTGAGACTGGACCGATCCTTGCTATCTTAGATCTACAGCTTGCAGATGGCCTATTGTGGAGATTCTCTACCCATTACTGGGTGAGTCAATTCTACTTATAAGCCCTCTCCTGTTTCCCTCTGTTCCTCAGCTCTGTTTCTGATCCCTAAGGCTCTGCAATTTGGAAGGTGAAATGGGAACCTGAATAGAGGTAGGCTGTTCCTCCTACTTCACACTCCTCCCACAGCAGGCTCCTCCCACTTCACATGCTTCCATCAAAGCATGTTCACTAGCAGATAGAGTCTGAACCCCTGAGAGTCACTCAGCGCTTATGTCCCCATGCATAGCTTTGAGGTCAAATAGTCACAAGTGAGTAATTTTACCATGAAGCAATACAGGTACCATTGGTTCTTTTTCTTCTACTGTGACTGATAAAGTAAGAAAAGAGGGCCTTATTCCTGCTCACAGTTCCAGGGTAAAGTCCTTCATGGGGGAAGCAGATGCAGTAGGAGCTTGAAATAGGTGGTCACATGACATCCACACTAGAAAGCAAAGAGGGACAGATAATTCTGCTGGTGCTTAGCTCCCTTTCTCCACTCATACAGGCCAGCATCCCAGCCTAGGAATGGTGTCACCTACCTCAGTCCAATCGAGACAGTCCCCACAGCAAACCCAGAGGCCTCTTTCCCATTGATCTTAAATTCTGTCACATGTCCAATTGCTGTAAACTAATACAAGAGGTAAGGTACAGATGTATGTGGATTGTCATTTATAATGTCAATGGCATTTCCAGCAACAACAATCATCTGCCCTTCTGTTTGAGCAACTACAAAACCAGATGTGAATTTTTAGTGGACTTGAGGGAGCCCCAAGTATCCTACCTCATTGCTTACCCAGGCACCTTCACTCCCCCTGAATCCCCACCACTGCTACCGGGCTGCCAAGCAAAGACTCAGAAGGAACAGCATCAAAAAGGATGGACCCGGTCCCAACCTACCACGAAGAAAGCCTAAGCAACTCTTTTTTTTTGCGGAAGACAGAGATGATCTGGTGCTGGCAGAAGAGGGAAGTATTTAAGGCTGTGAGCGAGTTAGCCCTGGTAGCGTGGCCACCAGGGAACCATTACAGACATTTTCCTCACCATGGATGTTCTGCTCATTGAATGTAATCAGCAGAAGACTGAAAGTGGAAAGTGAGGGAGCAGAGAGCACTCCTCATGTCCAGTCCCAACCACACTGATGCTACTGCAGACTCAGCTTTCCCATTATTCCATGCAGAGACTCAGAGAGCGGACCTCTTTTTCCTGCCTCCCCCCCCCCCCACAGGGGGAGAGGGTACTGACAGCAAGGGAACAGAAGTCACAAGACGGAATTGTGCATGGGGTCAGAAACCTCCTGGTCACACAAGCCGAGACACAGAGGGAGGTGGTGGGAAGGGCTGCCAGGGGCTCCAAAGCATGTCAGCAACGGGGCCTCTCTTACCAAGCCACTACTGATAAGCAGACCCTAGCACACTGGGAGGCCCCAGCAGACATTCGCTGATTTGTTTAAATAGTTGGAGGCGTTCATGCTAAACCTGCATCAGAGCAGCAGAGCCTGAGAAGTGAATGTATTTCGATGGGACCACTTACTCTTCCATTTGAAGGAGAATCTCAAGTAGATTCTTCAAAATCAAACACAAGTGCAATTGACTGTGTCATAGATGCTAAGGAGCGCAGAAATAGAACCAGAGACCAAAGGTCTATTCACACTGTCACTGCTTCCTATAGACATATTTCTCTCCAGTCACCATTGCCTTAAACTGTACCTATTTATCCATCACCCTACAAGCAAAAAGTCAACAAAGGCCACACATGTGGACCAAACACCCTTTTGGTCCCATGTAAACATTAGAAATCCAGATCTGCTTAGGCTACATTGATTGCAGTAGATTGTCCAAGAACCTACTTGTCCCAGGTCAAATAAAAAAAACTAAGATGTCTAGTATATATTTTGGATGAATCCAAAGGGTTATGAAAGCTCTAACACAACGAGGGGATGACCCAGTGGTGCATGGGAATCTCGGTGTGGGTCTACAGCATCTATATAAATGGCTGCTTATAGCAGTACACAGCTGTAACCCAGCACAAAAGGATAGAGCCACATGGACCTCGGGTGATCCACACCTAGCTAAGCCAACAGACTCGGGAGTGTCCAGGCTCAGTGAAAGACTGTCTCAAAAAGTCAGGCAGAGAAGCAATTGACAAAGACATCTCGATGTCAACCCCTGGCGTCTACACATTCTTGCACAAATGGGCAAACCCCCGCACACAACTATATGAACGTGCGTGTAGCATACAAACACTGGGAAATTGTGATTACATGGGAGCAGCAATACAACATGTTTCATTTCACCCTCCCGTTGTGGCCTAAGGAAATGGTATATCACCTGATATGTTCACCACACTCCAAAACCACCTTCAGATGACCATAAAAGCCTTGAACCTGCTAAGGAAAGTCAGGTGCATTAGCTGTGGGCATCTCCCTGCCGTACTTTGGGATTTAACATATAAAGCCCACGACAAGTCCTATGTTTCAGTGCTGCCTTAGTTCTGACAGATGGGGGACCTGGGCACAGTGGTTTTGTCTTACAAAGCTAGGGCCAGCAGAATACCTTAGCAGGAGAGCCAGCTGAATGTTTCCCAGACTGAGCACTAATGTGAAACCAGAAATGCTTTTAGGGAAGTAAAAACAGAAGAGAGAGTGGCTTGTTCCTCTGAAGGGACCCATGCTCCCTTTGGCTATGAAGAGCCACTGTTGACAATGGAGCTGAAGAAATTCCAAATCCTTCCTGAATCTGAATGTTGAGTCCAGGGATCAGGCACAGAAAGTGTTTGGGGAACTTCCGCTGTCCCTTGCCAAATGTTTATTGGTTGGTGGCAAAATGAGAACAGGCAATGACAATCCAGGGACTTCTCTGCGAACCTAAGCGTAGTCATAAGTATCGTCTTATTTTGAAAGCTGACTTCCAATCCTACTTTTACTGTCAAACGTCCTTTTACAATGCTCTCTAGGAGAGGGTGCCGATGTCATTCCGATTCATTTATCGTGTCTTTGCTGGCCAAATGTGAGACTGGCAACGCTGTCAGCCTGTACTTCCTCTGGGGGCTTTTACCGGTCTAGGAAATGGAAAAGTGGGGCCTCTTTAAAGAACAGGAAGGCAGCTGCTGAAAGGGGCGGAGGTCTTTACTCTCTTTCATTACAAACTCTTGGCAGGACTGACTGCATCATCTCAGCAAGACCCGAGAGCCAGGAAGGCCATTCTGATGAGTGGCTGACACTATGGGGGGAGTGAGCCCTAGAGCGCCCTCCCCCATCTCCCAGGCAGGCGCGGGGGTGGGAGATTTCACAAGGAAAGAGAATAGAGCAAAGATCTTTTTTATCAATTCATAAAATATTTATTAAAAGTATATTGAGAGGCTGAAGAGATGTCTATGTCAGTACAATTCTTGCTGTGGAAGCTTGAGGACACAAGGGTAGACCTGTGGAATCCATGTAAAATTCAGGGCTTGGCTATGTGCATCTGTAAACCTAGTGCTGGGCAGGTAGAGGTAGGTGAAGCTTGAAGGTCACAGGTCAGTCAGCCTAGACACAGGGATGAGCTCTGAAACCATCAGAGACCCTACCTGTAAAGAGAAAATGGGGAATGGCTGAAAGAGACACCTAATACTAACCTCTGACCTCCTCAGGCGTGTATACATTTGCACATGCACTATACTAAAACACACATACACACACACACACACACACACACACACTCACATTTCCAAAGGTAACAGAGGTTTGAATAGATATCTTTCAATAATTTCAGTGAGGACTTCAGTAGCGTGGATAGAATTTTACCAATGTAGTAATCAGTTACAAATTAATTGCGTTTTGTACACAAGCCCTTTCCAGTCAGCCAGTAATTTACAGTGGTTAGATTAGACAGTCTGGTGCCAGCAACAGAAACACTGAAGTAAAGCACTGAATTCATCCCAAAAAATACCGAGAGAGAATGCTGCAGGGTATGCATGCGTCTGTGGACAACATACTCAGCCAAGCCATCAAATACTTTTATGTCATTAGTTTATATATTTGAAGGATTGTAACACTAATGACGCTAATGTCTAAGGTAGTTTCTCTCAGCTCGAATAGCAAACTTGACCCTCAGACCCTGTGGCCCTTGTAAGGATAACCACATCATACTGCAAAGCTTTGAATTTTCTTTTCTTCTTTGGGGGGGAGGCATATCTTTTATCAATTTTTTACTTTCAATTTTTTACTTTTTTAAAAAAAAGAAATCCCAGTTCCCACTCCCAGCCCCTCTCCTCCCACATCCTCCCCTCCTTCCATTTCTCCCGTCTCACCCCCCCAGAGAAGGTAAGGCTCATTGATTTGGGGAAGGTCCAAGGCCCTCCCTACTATATCTAGACTGAGCAAGGTATCCATCCAAAGAGACTAGGTTCCCAAAAAGCCAGTACAAGCAGTAGGAAGAAATTCTGGTGCCACTGCCGGTGGCCCCGCAGTCTGCCCCAGCCAAACAACTGTCACCCACATTCAGAGGGACTAATTTGGACCTATGCTGGCTTCTCTCCTATCTGACTGGAGTTGGTGAACTCCTATTAGCTCAGATAAATTGTTTCAATGGGTGTCTTCATCATGGTCTTGACCTCTTCTTAACACAGACCACAAGGTATCAGACAAACATCATCCGTGTCATGGGTTTCCCTGTTAGAATTAAAATCCAAAAGGTTTTCTTTTTTCCAGAATACAAGTCATGCCGAGATATAATCCTGGGAATGAGAGGCAGACAACGTGGTCTACTGAGTCTTGAGAACAGGGTGGGTGAGGGATTGTGAGTAGTGTTGCTTGGTTGAATGTTGCCTGATCACTTCCTCTCTGGGAGTTTCTTTTCAGATGGCTTTCTCCTAAGTCCTTTAGGGCAGCATGTCTTTCACCTGTTGAAACTTTCTGTTTCCTTTGTTTTTCATTTTCTTGATTTACAGCAGCCAATCTCTCCAACCAGGGCCATTTGCCTGGAGCATTTCCAACTGTAAACATCTGACACTGTTTGGGTCAGAGGGGACCATGTCTTCTACGGTCACAAACACAGAAACTATCCCCAGAGTACTGCAAAGGAGGTCATTTGTCCCTCTGTTCTGCCATCACGCTGGTTATAAACCCACTCATCTGTCTTTCCAATCATTTGCTCATTCACCCAATAGATTTTATTCTCCAGTGTACTTGGAGTGATGACTGTGTTCTCAACATGGGTAATGCTATCTTATCTTTGATTGTTTAAGTGTCTTCCCTCACAGGAGAATACCTTGAAGGAGGCACTGTGGCCATTGCCATTCCCAATGCCTGGTGCGGAATGTGATATGCAGGCAGTGCCTCCAGCCCAGGGAGATCTGTTGCCTACATATCTCCCTTTGAAGGAATTTGGTGTCCCAGGCACTAGGGAAGCTCGTGTCTATTATGACACTGTGGGCGCTTCTCCTTCTCCCTTTTTTATGTGTTGCCCCTTGGACAGATGAGAAACTGAGGCTCAGAGAAGTCAAGTGATTTGTGCCACCTTCAAGCCCTGATGGGTGATAGATCCATGACTCCAGCCCGAAAGATTGTCTCTAATTCTTTCCAATGAACATTTCACTATACAGTCTCAATGCTGATGGAATAAGTTAATGAGTAGCCCTCACTAGGAGGCTGGGAAGATAACGTGGCTAATAAATGCTTGCTATGCAAGAATGAAAACCTGAGTCTCACATAAAAAATACCAGCCCTAGTGGCACATGTAAATAGCTGTGAGGACAGAGGTGGGTGGATACCTTGGACTCACTGGCCAGCAAACTTATCCAAATAAAGGGGCTCCAGACCAAAGAGAGCCTCTGCCTTGGAAAACCAGATGTGCAATACCCTAAAGAATTACATTAAGGTCAACACGTGGCCTCTGCATGTTCACATAGGTACACATATGCACACACACACATACACACAGAGGGGGTTGGGGTATAATGACATGCATTAGGGTCACAGGAGTGTGAGGGTGACCTACCGTACAGCATAGCAACCCTTACATAGTAAACCCAAAAAGCAGAAACTCCCTGAACAACCTCAAACTCTGAAACCCTGCTAAATATTTCCTTTAACAGTTTACACATATGTCTATCGATTATAGAATGTCTCACACGGCGTTGACGGCAAAACTGTTTGGGAACAGACCACAATGAGCATCTCCAGCGAGCTGAACACATTCCCAATCTCCTGAGTCCTTTGCTAATTCTCCTTCTAACTGAGTCTGGGAAGTTTAACATGTAAATACATTTACTTCAACAGTGTGTCTTTTAGTCAGAAGGGAAAAGAAAACACAATTAAACCAAAAAATTCATGGTTTTAGAAAAGATAAATAAAGCCTACAATGCGGTGATTGGGAAAATTCTGATGAGTAAATAGACAAAAAAAAAAGTGCTTCCCACCATTCTCATTTGCTGAATATTGACTAAATAAGTGCTGGAATGTGGGCTGTTCACAGATTAATTTGCCAGTTCAGTGTGCAAACTCCTCTGAGCTTCAGCAAGCTGGACTCGGTCCTCAGACCTGATTTCATTACAGCTCAGAGAGACTAGATAAAGGGGAAGATGAATGATATTTGAAATTAGTATTTCCCTACCCAGGGGCTAATCGACAAATCAGATATTATCCATTTTTTTATCCCATTCCCAAATCAAATAATTTCAGAGACTTGATCCTGACTACATAGAAAACTCAAATCCCCAGTGAGTCAGAATCACAGCTGTGACTGACTCCTCCAACCCCTCCCCATCAGATTCATTCATTTGGACTTAGATTTCAGCCTAGACTCCCATGGCAGGGGAGGGTGGGAGCCCGAGCTTGGCAGCCTCTGAAGACCTTGAAGAATTGGACCTAAATGCATCGGCTCGTCTTTGTGTCACATACAATAGGAACTTGTGAAGATCCTTTCTTACCGGTCATTTAGTTTTCCTCTCCTGAAAGACATTCTTTGGTAATGCGGCCCCTCTCAGCATCTTAAACATCATGCAGGCTGTCACAATGGCGCCATTCAGGGCTGTGCTGGAGGCAAGCTCCGTGGGATCACAAACAGGAACTGGAAAGTTCAGGCATGCTCCCAAGGACTTGGTGGCCAGACACTGGGCACAGGGCAGGCTATGTCTCCGGACCAGAAGATGACAGGCACAGACTTGGGAGAAACTGACACAGAGGACAACGGTGTTCTCTGGTGTTTTCTCGTCTATTTGTCAGAATAATCCACACTGTTGTATATTTTAGAAAAGCTGTAGGAGATAAGATTTTGTTAGGGGATTGCAAAGTATAACATGGAGTGGCAATTTAATCTGCTATTTCATTATCAAAGTAAACAAGGAACGAAGTAAGCATTTTAACAAAGGTCTAAGATAAATTTCCAGATATCAAATTCTTGAGGCCCCAATATTTCTATTATTCAAAGGCAATAATATGTAGATATAGATTATATATAGATATATGCACTTGCCTACACCCATTTCTCTCAGAACGAAGCAATCTAGGAAAATCAAGTGAGGAGCCTCAGTGAAAACAAATTCAAAATACACTGTAAGAATATCTATATCCTCTTATTAGTGAGTCCACTCCAAAGTTCTCAGTGATATCATTGAACTACCCACTGGGACAATAAAACAACGTGTATCAATATTATCTGAAACCATTGTTGGAGGTCACATTCATGTCACTACTCAGGGCATGCTGTCCCCAGAGGAACTCTCATTATAAAGCATTACTACACAAATCAGAAGTGGGACTGGCTGGTCGTGAGCTTCAGCAACGAAGAATCACTATCTTCCTTCTCATGGAATCCAAACAAGCTGAAGAACCCTTTTCTCCAGCAATGATGCTCAGCCAAAGCCCCTTCTTGTGAGACTCCATGATGGTCATGGAAAAGCACTTGGCATTTTGTAACTTCACTTAAACCTATAACCATGACAACTTATTTGGCAAGCAAATGCCATTAACAAGGCAAGGGAACTCAGTCTTGGAATTTCAAATTTCCATCTACTCATTCAGAGGAATTGGAGACTCCCTCCTCCATCAGCAGATGCAGCGCACGGGGACACAAATCTCATGTAGGCTGGAGAGATCCTTTCTAGATGTCTGCAGTGTCTGGGAGGACGTTGCTGCCCCAGCCAGAGGTGGTTGAATATTTGCTCTGTTACGTGACTGTATCAAGGCAAGAGATGGAAGCTTCAGTTACAGGGGAATAGGCTCTGTTCGTCTACTGTCGGGCACAGAGACTAAAGTCAGGTGCATACCCAAAGGGTCACGCATTCACTCCAAGTAAAGGTATTCTGACCATTTCCATGATTCCAAGAGGATGCTAGAGACTGAGGATGGTTGACACCATCGCGAGGTTCGGAGAGGATAAGACTTCTGTCACTCCTGCAGAACTGTCATGACCCTCAATCAAGGGACCAAGCATGAGGCTGTAAAGTAATGGATGATGGAGAACCAGTGTCCCATACATCTAGGTGAGGAGGAAGAATCCATCAAAACAAGTTAGACTGAGCTAAAGAGTCCTCCCAAGGAGACAGAAGAATCTGGTGAGACAACACACAGAGGTGATGGGTTGTGGTTATCATATAAAATTCTCCATATGAAAAGTCTCCAGCTTGAGTGTCACACTCAGTAGCTGAAAATTTAGGCACTGGATTTTGAAGATGATGTCAGTAGAGATTATGGGTTGTCTCCTGAGAGGCTCGACATGCCCTGACCGTTGCAACCTCCTCACAGAGTTTATGCAAACTGCCCAGGGCCAGATCCTCTTGGAAGACTAACCACCTATCCATGCAGATGACAGGACCAGAGCAGAAACAGTATTCTCCAGGAGCATGGACCTTCATGTGGCAGCAGAATGTCACTCTCTTCCTGAGACCTATGAACCAGGCAAAGCCATTGCTGAACTTGGGCTGGAGAAAGTAGCTGTAACCTCAACACTCCAGGGACAGCAAAGAGGACATAGACACTCACTGTAAATGCTATAAATGATTGTACCTTAATGGCAGGTTCCCTGCCTGGGCCTGGCTTAGGGCAGTGGAGACATTTATTCATTAGTTCTCTGCTTAGCCAGTGTCTAATCAGAATTTTGAGGGCAATATAAAGGAATAAATTACTAGGCATCCCTAGCAGTCCAATTAAAAGACTTCTTTATAAAAGTGAAAAATATCTGTCTGGGATAATGCATCACCACTGAGCATACAGCTCTGACATCACTTATTAACTGAAGACAGACGTTTTCAGACTTCTTAGAATTCAGTGGCATAACCTGGCAATGGCTTGGCTGTGTGGTGTTGAACTGAATCCTCGGCCACTTTAGATTAACTGTTCATGTAGGAGCTGGGAATACCTTGAGAGATGACATCACCTTTCCCCACAGAGATGGAGGCACTCACAGGCAATTGCACATGGCATATGCTTGCAGAGATATTAGAGAGTGTGACGAGGCTACAGGAAAGGGGAGCTGACCTGGGCGGCACCAGGAAAGGGCAGCTCAAGAAGCAACATCTACAGTGTGTCAGCAAGGGCAGTGACAACTTGCCTGGTGGCAAAAATGACCGGATGTGCCTAAGGCTAGGACCAGACAAGACTTTTTTCAGGTTTCTGTCTGTCACTTCCAAGAGTCTCGGGGGTCATTATATCTGCAGTATCCAAGTGGCCTGACTGGGTTCTGTTTGTTTGCATTTGAGTTCTGCCAATATCTTATACTGCTTTTGCAATTGTCTGGCTGTTTGGTCGGTTTTGCTTTACTCTACCACCTGCTTGAGTAAGAATGGTTTGACAGGAGGCTGACCCCATGCCAAAACACAATTAGGTAATTGATTATCTAGGAGGGGGTGTGAATTCAATCCGGCTTTCATCCCTAACAATAAGCAGAGAAGGGGAATGTTAGAGCACCAGCCCCTCAAACCAGCTGCAATGGCTTGCGTATTGATATTTAAATTCTAATTTAAATTGGAAATTGTGTTCCTCAAGGATGATGTTCAGTAAAGAATAGAGACTCTCTCTGACTAAAATAAAGAAGGAAGGAAGTATTACAGCAGAGAGTGCTTTTCCAGCGTGCCCTGCAGAGGATTTTCTTAGCAGCAATATGGAGAAGGAGTTTTTTAAGCATGCTACCTTGGTCTCCTTTCCTGTCACTGAGTTAAGAGCACCTTAAAGGAGAAAGGGCTTCTGGGTAAGAGTCCAACCTTGTCGGGTAGTCAAGGAGGTAGGAACTTAAAGCATCTGGTTACATTAAATTCATAACCAAGGGTAGAGAGCAATGCATTAATGCACGTGTGCTCATTCAGGTCATGAAATGATGCTACCCATATTCAGGGTGGATCTTCACAACTCTCTTAACCCACATCTCCCCCATGGGCTCTTATTTTGCATTGCTTGGTTACCAGGAACTGAAGCTGTTTGACAGGATTAGAAGGATTGGAAGATATGGTCTTGTCATACTAGGTGTGGGCTTATTGGAGGAAGTAAGATGCTGGGTATAGACTTTGAGGTTTCAAAAGCCCATACCAGTCAGCCAGTCAGTCTCTCTCTCTCTCTCTCTCTCTCTCTTTCTCTCTCTCTCTCTCTCTCTGCTTTCAGATCAGAATGTAGCACTCAGTTATTTCTCCAGCATCACATCTACCTACTGCCAAGCTCCCTACCATGAAAATGGACTAGGCCTTTGAAACTGTAAGCCAAACCCCAGCTGAATGCTTTCTTTTGAAAGAGTTGCTTTGGTCACCGTGTCTTTTCACGGCAATAAAATAGTGACTAAGACAGTAACCTAATCTTGATACTGAGATTGACTTCCAAGAAAATTCTGCCCAGTGTCAAGTTAACAAACTAACCATTTCAATTCAATCCCATGTCAATACCCAAGGACACTTTTAAATCATAACCTTCTATCCCTTGTCTCTACATGTTCATGCTCATGCTATCATATAAAATATATGATATATATATTGAATTTATATAATATATTCAAATCTAATCATAAAGTCCCCATAGTCATCACTAGTTCCAGTATTCCAAAAGACCAAGGTCTCTCTACTGAGAGTCTTATAAAATAAAAATAAAAACAAACAAACAAACAAAAAGCATAATTGTGTGGAGTAAATACTTTTGTTCCAAAAGGTGAAAAAAAATGATCTCAACAAAACAAAAATAGTAGGGAAGACACAAAATCCCTCAACTCCATGTTTGGTATCTTGGGCTCATGACGAAATTGGCAGGGTACCAAAGACTTGGTTAGCTCCACTCTTCCAATCCCTGTATCACATAGTGCACACAGCTTCTCTACCATGGCTACCCTGCTCCATGCTTGTGGCCTCCTTGACGGATGGCACCTGGTCCTCACATCTCTACTATTCTGAGGTCTCCATGCAACTCAGGCTTCATCTTTATAGCTTCACCCACTGCCTCTCAGGCCCCTCCATGGAGTTCAGCCTCCACTGCTCTCTGTGACCCACTAAATATTTCTAACTTCAATGCCTTTTTTAAAAGATGTATTATGAGAAGAATGTTACTAAATCCTGAAGTCACCTTGAGATGTAACCCAGCCCTTTGGATCAAGTCTGTATCTGTATATTGACCCTGAGAAATCATTTTCATATTTCTAGAACAGAGTGCTATGATTCTCCTTAATGGTGCTAATTGCTTTGCTCTCTGCACTCTCCTTGATTAAAACTTTAAGCTTGCCCATGCACCTTCCTGTCATCAAAAAATAAGTAAATTTTCTTTCAGTTCAACTTTGCTCTGGTTCTTGGGGTAGGAACAGAATGATGACAGAATCTTGGCCAAAATATTAGATAGATTTTCCATAACCCATTTCCTAACAGAGTCCTTGTCCCCCTCGGAAACCTCATGAGCCAGTCCTGTCCTGTCCTCATTTCCCTTGGCGTTGTTGTCTTGCAGACGTCTACAGGAATGGCTCATTAAGTTCTGCTCCCAGCATTAAATGACTTCTCCAGCCCAAAGCTCCAACTCTCCCACATTCTTCCCACAAAAGAGTTCCAAAGTCCTGAGTGACGCATGGTCACGTTTGTTACATCAACTGTCCCATTCCTTGGTACCCATTTCTGTCTCCATTTCTTTTCCTGTTTCAGTGGTAAAATACCCTAACCAAAGATCCTTCAGGGAGTGAGGGCTTCTGGATTAAAATCCATCACGGCAGGCAAATGAAGGTGGTGGGAATTAGAGGCGGTCAGTCCTATCACACTAGAGGCGGTCAGTCATACCACACTAGAAGTGGTCAGTCACATCA